TGTCCTTTTTAATTTCAGTCAACCCGAATGATTTAACCCCGTGAGAAAACCTTTTCAAGATTTGACCAAGTCGCCAAAAGGTCGCTAAGTATGTGGCGTTTTAATTCTTTAAATAATTAGTTTTAATCAATTAATTGTTATTAATTATAATTAAATTATTGTATTGTCATCCAAAATGATAATGTATATAAAATTTCAGCTCAATTCAGCGCTTTAAAATGTATTTTATTAACGATTTAAAATTTCACCAAGATAAATAAATAAATATACAAATATATAAATAAATAAATATATAGACAGTGCGAGCTAATAGTAGGAATTGAAAAATTATTTTCAATGGTACTTTAAATAGTAAAAATGTTTAATATCAAATCACTAATCTTCGCTATGTTTCCCTTGAAAAAAGACCTAACTGAACTCTCAGCTCAATCATGACTTTTCAGGACGTTTCCAATATCAGCCCAATCTCTTATGACTGAGTGAGTGTTAAATCGCTCTAAGCATAGAACTCTAGATATTGAGCCACTACCAAGTAACGAGGACGACACATGAGTTAATACTTAACCTCTCCAAGCTTCCACACTCCTCCACGTAATGCAGTTGAGTGTCGACAGGCTAACATGTATCAGCTCCTCTATAAGGTGGATCTTTAGCACTAACCAGATTCGAACCCAGGATTCGTTTAATAATACAACTGCAAAAGTTCGCTGTCAACGAAACTCGGCAACATCGAGTCGATATTGAATTAGAAAATACAACAAATTTTAATTCCTCAAATTACAAGTTTAGTTCTTAAAACGCTTTTATAAGTTTCGCTTGTATGCAACAGAATGTTTGAGCTCCATTTTTACCCACTTTAAAAGGTCAGATTAATTCCAAATTTTGCATACTTGTCAAGAATCGCAAAGACAATACAATGATTTAAAATTTTTGTTCAGTTGTCTTGATCAGGATAATCATTATTATCAATTTCCCATTTCCAGGTTTGGCGACTGAAAGATTAAGTTAAGACCCTAAAGCAAAAACACTAATGGGTATTCCATAATTCTAAAGAAAAATGAAGTACATAAGTTCAATTCATCAATGAATAAATGATAGTTTAAAAAAAAAGTGTGTGTGTACTTATATACGCACTTAAGAAGTTATACTTCTTTGGCGTAACACGATTAAAATCTTTCTAAAAGTCTTAAGCAGGGCAAGCTGGGCCAAGGACGAAAGGCCATCACGAGCAGAGTTGAACGATACTAACCTTCAGTCAATCGGACCAGCCAAACCTGAGGTAATCACGATTTAAATAAATTTATACACCCCCGCATAGGGACAATAGGACCAATAATATGGGGAGGGGGCCGAAGGTGGGAATGATCTGTCCCGTTCTTTGTGTATTTCTAGACAAAGATTTTTCGTATTCATTCCTACGGAACGCTAAGCAAGTTTTTAGTTGACGTGGGGGTATAGCTCAGTGGTAGAACATTCGACTGCAAATCGAGTGGTCCCCGGTTCCAACTCGCATGTTCCCTTCTTCAGGGAAGTGAGGAGAAATATTTGTTTGAGAAATTCGAAGGCGGGAATGATTTGTCCCGTTCTAGACAAAGGATTTTCGCATCCGTCCGGTGTGCGCGCGCATTGTAAAAATTTACCCTCATCCTATTTCTCTCGCTCCCCAAAAGAAGTATAACTTCAAATAAATTAAAAGAGAAAAAAAAACTTTTTTAAAAACAAGCTTTTATTTAAATGGTCTAATAAGAATAAAATAAACTTTTCTTTTAAACCTTTTTGCAATCAACTTATAAAGTCATTACACAATTTATGATATAAAAGCTTGTCGCGAGATTTAAGTACTCGTATTTAATTAGTCTGAAAATTTTAAAAATTAAAATCATTCAGATAAAGTTATTAAATTTGTGCTTGTTTATCTACACAGGTAAATTTCGCTACAAGCTTTTATATAAATTGTGTAACGACTTTATAAGTTGATAGCAAAAAAAGTTTTAAAAGAAAAGTTTATTTTATTCTTTTTAGAGCATTTAAATAAAAGCTTGTTTTTAAAAAAGTTTTTTTCTTTTCATTTATTTTTTACTTTTTAGCTATCGCTGGACAGATCATTCAATGCAATATTGTTGCAAGGTCGTTTGCCAGTTATATATTTTTGAACAGTCCAGCTAAGAGGTACTAAACCTTTTTTCCCGCCAGGCCATATATATGATAGATATTTCACTCGGGCCGGAACAATAGCATAAAGAAAAGGGGGGATAAACACTGTTAGAACAAAACAACATTGGATAAAGCAATATTAATTAAAATATTAAAACTGTTTTCGTTTTTTACTATAATACTATATTTAAAACGAAAAAGACAATTTTTTTTTAAAATCCGTATTTTTAAACCAAACATTTTCAATTTTTATGCAGAATTTGGATAATACTATGCTACGAACGAAAAAATATTTTCGTGCGATTATACTTAAAAATGACGAAGTTTTTAAATGCTTTATTAAATATTAAAGTATTTTTTGTGTAAAATCGTAAAAAAATGTTTTAGACATTTTATTTTTTAAATGACTGATTCTAAAAGAGGAAAGCTTTAACTTTCTTCGTGCAGAATATCGATTCGATAACATGAAAAAAAAATCATACGGAATGATTTAGAAATAATTTTCATGAAAACGCATCGATTTTGACTCATTTTAGAAAAGACTGTAAAAAATAGGAAATATGATTATTTTTTAAAAATAATTTTACCATATCGTGGTGAAATAAATGATCTTTTCGATCAGGTAATTATTTCTTTTTCTTTGTTTGATAGAAAAAATAAGACGGATTTTGAAAAAAGGTCGAATAATCGGAAGTTCTTTAAGCTCAATCCGATAAGTTGATCGGCAGAATAAAAAGCTAACAGGGGTAAAATGTTTTATATTAATATCTATTTAACTAATTGCGATATCACAATATAAAAAATCAAAACATGCATTGTCATCCAAACTAAACGTGTGTACAAAATTTCAGCTCAATTGGTTGAAGAAATCAGCTTCAAAATTGAGTTTTACAGGATTCAAACAGAAAACATTACTTTAATTAATATGTACACTATTAAAATTCGAAGGTAAGCAAATCGTATGCGACTATAAGACTAGGTGTATCTTCTCACGAACCGAACGACGCAAAACTCGCCGATGGTACAAAAATATTGGGAATTATAGAAGGAATCCGTTTGGAGCATTTATGTTCCAAAAGTGCAATTTGTTAAAAAGATATTAGTTGAAAACCTTAAAACAAATAATTATTGCTAATTTTTTCCCCGCCAGGCGGCGAAGTCCCAATTTTCCGAACTTTTATTTATCCCAGAGTTTTTAAAACACGATCTAATTTTTTTATATGACTCAGTTAAAAAATAATTACAGAATCGGAAAGATCATTTACTTCGCCACGATACGGTATAATTTATTTTACAAAATAATGATGTTTCCTATTTTTTACGATTTTTTCTTAAATGAGTCAACATTGATACGTTTTTATGAAAATGATTTCTAAATCGTTCAGATTACATTTTCTTTTACATTAATGAAATGATATTCTACACTAATAAAATTCATGCTTTTTTTCTTTTAGAATCAGTCATTTAAAAAATAAAATGTCAAAAGCGATTTTTTTTTCGATTTTTCAAAAAATACTCAAAATTTTATTTAAATACTTCATAATTTCTCTATTTATAAAAATAATCTCATGAAACACATTTTTTTCCGTTTGTAGAACGATATTATGCGTAATCTGTACAAAGATTGAAAAATTTGCTTATAAAAATTACGGTTTAAAAAGAAATGCGTTTTCGTTTGATTCCCTTTTTTGCGAGAAATATTTAAGCATTATTTTTGTTACATTCTTTGTTTAAAAATTACCGTTGTTTGTAGTTGATATAAGAAGTTTGAAGGCATTAACTTAAAAATGAAGCTCGGAAAAAAAAATTTAACTTTAACAAATAACTCAATGAAAAATTGAATGTCTTCTTCCTTTGTATCCGGGTTCGAAACAACATCATTGCTTAGTTTTTATGATTTATTAAAAAAAATACTCAAAATTCTATTCGCGCATTTAATAACTTTGCCAGCAATTTTGTAATTGGAAAGAAAACTTATTTCGTTACAATTCAGTATGTTTATTTATTTTTTTTTACAAAACAACGATACTTTACACATATTATGTGATGTTTTCTAAAATGAATTAATATCGATGCGTTTTTATATGAAAATGATTTTTTAAAAACTCATACTTTGATCTTTTACAGTTAGTGTTTTAAAAAATAAAATGTCGAAAACATTTTCTTACGAATTTCTTATGTACAATGGTTCATTACTTTTTGTTCCACTAGATTGCTGCATGTGTTAAGCTGCTTCAGAATCGGTAAATGTTCACTTACTCAAGAGCTTTGAAAGCGAGAGGAGAAGGGGAATTTCCATGACAGTAGGTTATGAATTAAAAAATGTTCGTGAAACGCCAGGGGGAAATAAAATTGTCTGACGAAGAAAAGAAGAGAAAAAAAATATCGAAACAGGGAATTTAAAGTTATACACTCGGTAAAAGGACAAGAAACGAAAGCCAAACGGAAGAGGCGGAAGGTCTCTCTGGAAGTCATTTTGAAAAAGAGTATTAGAAGAGTGACTTTGTGAAGGAAAGGGAAAATTTATAAAAGTAGAGAATGCCCGTGCAACGCAGGGTCATGCAGCTACACGTTTTAACTAATTTATATATCGGAATATCAAAACATGCATCGTCATCCAACCTGTGAACGTGTATACAAAATTTCAGCTCAATCAGTTTAAGATATCAGCTTTGAAATTGAGTTGCAAGATTCCACCCGAACATTTTACACATTGCAAGTTAAATAAAAACTTGTAAAATATAGCATGCTTTGTACATATGATGAGTAGAAGTATTGTAAAATATCGCGCGCTTTGTACAAGTCAAACGAATTTCAAAAATATTTTACATGAACAAATAATAATTAGAGGGCGCGGAATATCAATCCCCACACCTCTCGCAGGCTAAGCAAGTGCTCTACCATCTGAGCTACGTCCCCATTTGACACCTGTGTTAATGTAAAAATGCTCGCCTTAATACCTGAACAAGATCGTTAAAGTAACTAGGTCAATTAAAAGTGTTATGGGAGAAACTAGAACCAAGTAAATAGATATCATAGAATGTTTCAAAGTAAATAGAAATAGCTTGAAAGATCAGCATTTCTTACTTTTCCCTGTAGAACAGTAAAAATATAATATACTTTGTACGTATGCTGAGTGGAAGTATTGTAAAATATCCCGTTGTACAAATCAAACGAATTTCAAAAATATTTTACGTGAAGAAACAACCGTTGGAGGAGCGGGGTATCGATCACCGCACCTATCGCATGCTAAGCGAGTGCTCTACCATCTGAGCTACGTCCCCGGTCCACAACTTTGTTATTGTAAACCTGCTCACTTTAACACCTGAACAAGATAGTTACAGTAACTAGGTCGATATCGGAGTATAAATCGTCAAAACATGCATTGTCATCCAAACTAAACGTGTATACAAAATTTCAGCTCATTCGGTTAAAGTCATCAGCTTTGAAATTGTGTGAGTTGCAAGATTCCACTCGAACAAATTGCTTTAGTTAATATCTTTTGAACTAATTGCGATATTGGAAAATAAATGATCTAAAAACATGCATTGCCATCCAAACTCAATGTGTATACAAAATTTCATAGAAATAGACATAAGCTTCACAATTGAGTTGCAAGATTCCACCCGAACAAATTGCTTTAATTAATATTTTATGAACTAATTGCGATATTGGAAAATAAATGATCAAAACATGCATTGTCATCAAACTAAGCGATGTATACAAAATTCCAGAAACAATCGGTTGAAGACATCATAGCTAAAAGAATTGAGTTGCAAAGTCCTACATTTTACATTGCAAGTTAAATAAAAGCTTCTAAAATTTAAAAAAAAAACACCTTTTATTATAGATGGAACTAAAAAATTAAAAATAAATTATAGTTTTTACAAAAAAACTGAAGAACACACTTTTATAGTGAATCGAACTGAAAAGTAAAAAATACTTCTTAATAAAGAATAAAATGATTAACAAGAAAATTAATGTCATTGTGGAAAAAGCGTGGGGTGCTTTATATACTACATTTTTACATTAACTCTACATTTCTTAATAGAACTAGTAAGGATTTATGACAATGGATATGAACACCCACGCTTTTTAGAACAATGGCTGTTTTCTTGTGTGATTATCATTGATTCTTATAATATTGAAATTATTTTTTACTTTTTGGATTCAATTCACTATAAAGCGTGTTTAGTTTTTAAACTATAATTATTTATGAACTCTTTTATTAACGTAAACAGGTGATATCAAAATAGTAAACCATTTGATTCAAAAATAATTAACCGCACAAACCGTTTTTATATTTTTAATGAGATTATTAAACTAATCGACCAAACTGTTTTTTGTAAAATAATTTACATCATTTCCAAAAACAAACTCGAGGCTGTAAGAAAAATCTTTTTAAACCACGCCAAATTACCGTGTTAGTAATTTTCTAAAAATGTATGTATTGTCAACATCTTTTAATTCTCTTTTTATAAGCCCTTGAACCGAAATCTTTATCGCAATTAAATGAAGACTCCTTTAAAAAAGAAAGAGCAATATAAAGGAAAATTATTTACTTGATTGGTGTTTCCTTTTGTCATGCACTTTAGAAAAAAACACACTCAAAGGTCTCTATTTATATTTTAGTCACTCAACCTTATTCAGTTTCTAATACAGTTTAATAAGAACATAATAATGTAAATGATTTCTATGTTTTAAATGTGGTATAAAAGAAACAATAACAGTATATCAGAATGTTCTACCCGGATCATTTTTTCTAAATGTAAGAATTTTACTTCCAAACAAATAAATTTCTAATAAAAAAATAATAGTTTTTTCCTCTAGGAAAAAGGTTTTGGTTAAACTCAATGAGATATAAAAATATTTTGAAAGTATTCTCAGAGAGGGGAAACATTTTCGATATAGATCAGATTTCTTCAATGTTTAAACTTATTATTCTTTGAATATAAAAATAAATGTTTATTTCTAAATAAAAATCTTCAATTGTCTGTTTTAAGGCATTTGAAAAATATTAAATATAATGTTAATAGTAATAATACTACATTTATTCGAATTCGTTATTCAGAATTTATGTAAAACTACAAGTAGAATTATTGGGTTCGAAAAGAAAACTGCCTAACAAAATTTACCATCTAAAAAAAAATTATTTTTTCAACCTTTTAATATCACAAAATTTATTTCTTAATACAGATAAATTAATTTCAGTTTTCATGAAAAAGATATTCATTTTTAGAATTTGTTTGTAAGAAAATAAATCAAATGAAATTTTTGGTGCTTTTATCTATTTTTAGAATTTAGCGATAAATATTTTATTAATAACATTCATAGTGTTTTATTTTTCTACTTCATTTGAAGAAAGAAAAAGAAATGGTAGAAATGGAATGTCCCCCACACACAGTTCACCTAAAAAAGAATAATGCATCCATTACCTAAACACAAATTTCTACTCAAAACGTATTCATCGAAAAGCAAGTTTTAAGATATTTCTCGAACACAGTATTTGAAAACTTCCTAAATAATAATGATCCATTGCTTTTATTTATAGATTATCTGTAAAATAATACTAAATCAAGATATTTCTTTATATTTTCTTTTCTTTAATTTCTCTCAATCAAGAATATGCTAAAAAAATAAAATCGTAAATCTTCTAACGACTTAACACTTTTTATATTAAAGGAGTTTTCAATATAAATGGGGGGAATAAGATATAATTTTCCAATAAAAATATTTAGCAAAATGATCCAGATTACACATATAAGAACAAGGGATATATCTTAACAAAATGTAACAAATTATTATAGGTTGACAAAAAAAAATTGTATAAGTTTTCAGCATAAAACCCCATTCTAAATTTCCATCAAATCCTAATGGTTTAATTTTAAAACAGATTGTTTAAAGATGAAAAAAATTAATTGTATTAGTAAAATATTAGCATAAGAAAATATCTGATAATATACGGATATATATATATATATATATATAATATATATATCTTCAAGCTTGTAACTTAAATATACATTCAATTTTATTTAGGATTTAGATGTATATTAAACATATCTTTAAAGTTCTCTTATGTAAAAGAAAAACGATTTACTATTTGACTATATTACAATTCAAATACAAGCAAATAAGCTATACGAGATTATATTTCCTTCCATTCACCTGAATTACGGAAAATGAATTAAAAAAAAATGATTTGTGTAAAATTTCCTAAGTTATCGTTATGAACAAAATTGAGCATACAGTGGAATTTACTTAAATCTACCAAAAAAAGTATCATTTTTAATTTACAAAGAAGTCCTGAAAATTCACTCGTAAAAGACAGAATTATTTCATGTATTGCATCGAAATCCAGGGAATTTAAAAATAAAAACTGCGAATTGGGCCCTAAATTTTAAAAAACTACGAAAATTTTCGTTCCCAAAACAGAAAAAATTTTATTTTGTAAAAAGAAAATACATTCACGTTATAAAATGCATCAACTTATATACATGAGAATAAATACTTAAGTATATTTACCATCAAAAAGTTTAAAGTTTTAATTTTGAATTAAGTTCAATTTTATTTTATGTAAAAAATAAATATTAAAAAATTCCCTAATCATTTTATCGGCTTTTCCCATATTTGCTGTAACTTCTAAATAGGGAAACTGATGATTAATGTATAAAGACCAATTTAAATTTTAAACAATGAAAACATTCTTGATTTTTAAACCGGGCCCATTTTTTAATAAATTTCTGTTTTAAAAAAAGTGGTTGGGATCAAAAATATCGTAAAATTGGGCATAGCTGTTGATTTGTTTTCAAAAGATGTTTTTTTAAACCCCCACTGTGTAAGAAGGCTTTATTGAAACTTCACAAACATGAAGCTTTTATTTTGTATGAATAAGCAAATGTTTTTTTTAAAAATTTAAAACTGTGAGAAAAACCTTTTTTTTCACCAAAAAGTGAGGCTTTTTTTTTTGGGGGAAGGGAAAACGCAAAAAGTGTTTTTTTAAAATTTCTTCTTTGGGGAGAAAAAGGGGTTTGCAGATTTCCCCAAACATGAGGCCCTTTCCCCTTTGGGATGAATAAGTAAATGTTCTTTTTAAAATACTACTGTAATTGAAAGCTTTGTTCCCAAATTTTAAAACTGTGAGGTTTTTCCTTGGTATGAATAAGTAAATGTACTTTTAAAAAAACCACTTTGGGCGAAAGCTTTTTTTATTTCACGGGTGTGAGGGGTTTTTTCCCTTTGGGATGAATGCGAAATGTACTTTTAAAGTACCACTTCGGGAAAAAAAGGTTTTTTGCAGATTTTCACAAAATGAGGTTTTTTCCCTTTGGGATGAATAAGTAAATGTTCTTTTAAAAAGGTTTTCTTCCCATGGGGAAAGCTTTTTTTGCAAATTTCACAACTGTGAGGGGTTTTCATTGGTATGAATAAGTAAAATTGGACAAAACACCCCTTTGGGGGAAAGCTTTTTGAAAATTTCCCCAAATGTGAGGCTTTTCTTTGGTGTGAATACACAAAAGTGTTTTTTAAAATTCGCTTCTTTGAGAGAAAAAGGGTTTTTTGCAATTTTTACAAAATGAGGCTTTTCGTTGGGATGAAAAAAGTAAATTTTTCTTTTAAAAAAACTTCTTTTAGTGAAAACTTTTTTTGCATATTTACAACTATGAGGGCTTTTCAATGGGGATGAATAAGTAAATGTTCTTTTTTTTTAAAACCAAACTTCGGGAGAAAGCTTTTGTTGCCTATTTCCCCAAAAGGGTTAAAGGGTTTTTTTTTGGTATGAACACGCAAATGTGTTTTTTTTAAAATTTTTCCCTTTTAGGGAAAAGGCTTTTTTTGTAGATTTCACAAAAAATGGGGCTTTTTTCCCTTTGGGATGAATACGCAAATGTTCTTCTAAAGCACCACTTCGGGAGAAA